GTGGACTGCTGCATGTAAGATTTAGAGAACATCTTAGTAACATGTAGTTAGTAAATTCCAGTGCACATGATGAAGAGCACGGACCAAGTCTAGTAAACGTGTAGATTGATGGATTAGAGAGACAATTGACCAACGTTCAATATTATGTTCTTATGGATCTTCTGAGTAAGGTACAAATAAGCATGTATGGCAAAACTTTCGCAACATTTCTCTGCAAACTTACAAATGCATCACTAGGACTTAGGTATTTCCTTCCAACATTGCTTCTTTCATATGTTTCTCGCGCTTGTACGTATGTAGACGCTCCACCAACAAAAAATCCCGTTAAGAACGCCATCCGAGCAATCTGACAATTTTTTTTCTTTTTTTCGAACTAAGGAACAAAACAAAAAGACAAGTCATAAACGACACTCACTCGTACAGAGCAGTCATGCTCCATGCTAGGACGTTCATACAAGGCTCTTATTCTACTCCAACCAGACAATTTTTGGTCCTGGATACCCTCTTCAGATGTAGTTGTCAAAGAAGATGTTGGAGTCTGAAACACATAATTAAGGAAAAGGTATGGAAAAGCAAATACAACATACACCAACGTCCACTGCCTTAGTGTCATTATGAGAAGCAGCAGGATTGGACGATGTGGTACTGTGAGAAGCATCTGCGTTGCGCTTCGAAGTCCAATATGACCAACTCCACCAAGAAGGTGCTGAGTGCTGCGCTGCCGATCCATTGTTCATCCGCTAATTCGATTGGGCAGATTGAAGGTGTGTGATAAGCATAGACTGTGATAAATCACAGAAATATCAGGAAAAGTACATTTGGGTAGACTGAAAAGCGATACCTGTGAACTTTTATTATATGTACAGTGCAAAATAGCTGTTTGTAAACTGAGATATACAAGAAAAAATCTTGGACAGTCAAAAGTATTCCAACAGCTTTGAAATCAGGATGCAAACGTCCACAAACAAATGAGATCTAGACATTACTATACATCCAAAAAGTCAACGATAACAATTAACAATAGAAATAAGACAATCAATTACTGAGCTTTTTCTACAACAGGAAGAGTAACGTTTACTCCTCTATCCTCTCCGCGAAGATCGCTGCCTTCTTTGCTGATTTCCTCCTCTTTCTCTCCGTCAGCTCGTCCGGTCATGGCTGGCAGCAAGGGGATGCCTGAACAGAATACTGATCTGCCGAAATTTTTAGAGAGCACGCTATCGAAGGATGAAGTTTATAAAGTTTCTTTTAAGTTACTTTCTTAGGCAATTATTTCAGCTTTCTAACGTACTTGGAAAAAATTGAAAAATCGTCTCTACCTCAAAGCACTGCCTATTTATAAATCCAGGAAGGACGGCAAGAGATGTGGCCATATGCAAGCGAATGCAATCACATCCTTTACAACAAAACAGAAGTTTTTCTTCGCAAAATTAAATAGAGACAAAACGAAAAAGGGTAGAGTTTAATCAAGATATGTATGACTAGAGTTATTCAAAAGAAAAATTCAAAAGCGGCAGAAGACTTTCAAGATAATTTGGTAACTGCAGAGGTTGAGATGTACAAAAACTTGATGAAAAAACAGATGATCCGACATATTAACAAATGAAAACAAGCCAAAAGCTCCTCCTCGCCGCTCATAAAACGGAAATGAAGATTAATTTGTTTTTAAACAAAAAAAAA